CAGCATTTGGAATGCCGTTGGAATGTTGAAGCCTATTTTTCCCTTCCCAAATTGCTCTCACTCAAATTTCAATTTTCCGGTTTTGCCCTGTTACTGTTCATCTTCTTCACCGTGAGGGTGGCCGGCGAGGACGGATCTGGCCGGCGACGGGCCGGCGAGGTCGCCTGACCCAGGCGAAGACCGCCTGGGGTCGGGCGACCGCCCAGGCGACGTCGCCTTGGTCAGCGGTCACCTGGAGTCGCGCGACTCAGGCAGCGGTCACCTGAGGTCGCGCGACCATCGCCTGGGTCGCGCCCGCCTAGGTCGCGCGACCCAGGCGACCGCCGACCCAGGCGATGGCGCCTGGGCGGTCGCCGGACCCCAAGCGGCAGTCGCCTAGGTCAGGCGACCTCGCCGGCCCCTCGCCGGCCCTTCGCCGGCCAGATCCGCCCTTGCCGGCCCTTCGCCGGCCACCCTCGCCGGCCACCCTCATGGTAAAGAAGATGAACAGTAATAGGGGCAAAACCGAAATATTAAGAACAAAAATTGCCAAAGCCCTTTGCAAAAAAAAATTTACCAAACACTATTTAGGCCAAAGTAGCTTCACAAATTTTTTTTTACCAAACACCACTTGCATTTCCCCAGGTGGCTTTCACCTAAAGGTATTTGCATTCCCTCAAGTTGCATTTAAAAAGTCGAACCAAACGGGCCCTTAGTATTCCTATTCTGATAGAAGATGGATCAATTACATGAGAAACGAATGGGCTTCTTTTTTTTTTTTTTACCAAATGCCTAGTTGATGAAATTCTCGGGGTCGCTAATGGCGGACTAAAGGGGTTACTAATAAAGCAATTTTTATGAGCTGGGATTGTTGATCCGTAAAAAAGACCGAAATATCATATGCGCGGATCTCACGTATAGCCGTTAATTTTACAGCCGCCTCCGTCACTTTTAACACGAAGATCAAATGTTCAAACCAAAGTAAATAAAAGAGTCGACCGTCATATGTTTAATATTAAAGATTTATTCAGTTCTACATGTGCGGTGCCCGCGGTCTCCTGGGGGGGGGAGTGGCAGTTCGGTAGTTATTGGGGAAGGGGGAGGGCAAGGATGCGGGGGAGGAGTCCACGTCGGTGCGGGGTGAGGACCACGTGGCAGGGCGGGATATTTCGGGAGGAAAATATCTTCTCAGGGAGAGGGGAACCGGCCACCATCGGGCCTCCACGTCACCAATATCTTTGGTCAGAGCCCGAAGATATTTTTCGCTTTCGGCTTCTCGCTCGCTCCTTTCGGCTCTCCGAAATCCAATGGACTGCCGGTGTTGGCTGGTGGTGCTTGGTGGTGTCAGCTGTAATATGCTGTTGCCCACCCCCCGCTTTCGCTTGGCTCGACTCGGCCCGCTCCAAGATATGATGAAAAATATCTTCGATTCCATTGAAGCCAAACTTCCATACAAAAATCAAACCTTTAATATATGTGATTTAGTGCTCGCTTGTTTCGCGAAAATTATGATATTTTCAGAAAAAAAATTTCCATTGTTTGGCTAAATATTGGAAAATGATTTGGAGTTGTCTTTTTTTTTTTTCTTTTGCGTTTAGCAAGGAAAATCTCATTTCGTTGAAAAGTACTAGCATTGAGGCCGAGCATGCTACGTGGCATGACCGCGATGACGTGAACAATTTCTGTAATTGAAAGAAATTGATTTTTTGAAATAATTTTTTTATTCTTTTCTTTCCTTTTTTTTCTTCTTTTATATATTCTTTTTTTTTTTCTTTTTCCTTCTTTCTCTGTGGGTCTCTGGGCCGCGACGACGGCCAGCTACCGACCACAGGTGAGGTCGACCCTTGCTGGGATCTGGCGAGGTCGAACATCGCCGGGAGCTCGCCGGAGGTTGGCAAGGTGGAGCCTCGCCCGAGACCGGCGAGCTCAATCTCACCTAAGGCCGGCAAGCTTGATCACGTCGGGCCTTAGCCGAGGTTGGTCCACGCCCGTGGCCGGTCACCAACCGTCGACGAGGCCTGGCAGGCTCAGTTTTGATATTACCAATCACAGATGTCCCGGGCTCAACTTCGATGGTCTCAGACTCGGCCTAGATGGACCAGAGCCAGGACGTCGAGGACTCGACTCCGCTGCCAAGAGCCCGAGAACGAGTCTCGGGGTTTCCATGCCCAAGTGTTGAGTTTCTTGTTCAAGTGCTGATACCTAATCATATTTTGAAAAAATAATTTTTGATTTTTTAAAGAAAAAATCATTTTTCTGAATTTAAGTTTTGATAGAAAAATATTTTCTGTTAACCGAGAAAATATTTTCGGTTGACTTATTTTCCTAAACAATCCAAATGCTAGAAAAATTAGGAAAATATTTTTCCAGAATATAATTTCCGTGAAACAAAAGGACGAAAATGAAAAAAATTAGAGTCATGTTATGAGGTAAATTCGATTATTTGAAAACTCTACACGTTGCACGATTAAGCACTTGACCCCACTGGGGATAAACTCTGTCGGAAATGAAAGCTCTTCCTTTAAGAATAAATTGATGGCCCTAAGCTTGCGTTCTAAACTTTGTGAATTTTCTCGATATTAAATGTACCTGATTTTTCATACAGATTTGCACCTTTGCGCATTGAGAAAAGTAGAAAAAAGATCGATCTATCAACTTTGAGAAAATAAATTGTAGACACAATTTCTTGCTTGTCCAATAATGTTCTATGATCCCGAACTCCGGATGATTATGAGATGAAGCCTTTTGAGTACGATCCAAATATATCATATTATTATAGGTAGAGCATAACGTCGAAGTCAACCAAACAAACCACTCTTCTTGTCTAAGCATGGTACCTGATTTTCTTTTGCTTAGCCATGTAACAGGACTCCAGTTATTCCGACAAAGCCTGCTATGATTATCGTAGGTTTAGAGCTTCAAAACATCTTCTTTTTTTTTTTGGTCAAACTTCAAAACATCTTACTTATACTTGTGTCCATTGTAAAGTTGCTGGCCATAGTTTTTTTTTTGGGTCGAATGTTGATGGCCATAGTTCATTCTAAGGAAAATGACACAAATGGTCCCTGAACTTTGGTCAAATGTACAATGTGATCCCTGAACTTTTAATTTGTTCAATATAATCCCAAATCTTTAGCCCGATGTATAATATCGTCCATAAACTTTCGATTTGTTCAATGTGATCCCTGAACTTTTGATACATATTCAATCTAATTCATAGATTATATAAAATTGTTCAATGTTGTCCATGAACTTGAATCAGTGAAAGGATGATATTGAACATTTTCATATAGTCCAGGGACTAACTTGAACATGTACTAAAAGTCTGGGGACCACATTAAATAAATTAAAAGTAAAAGGATCACATTTTATATTGGGCTAAAGTTCAGGACCACATTACACATTGGGTCAAAGTTCAGGGACTATTTTTGTCATTATCCCTTCATTCTAAAATAAATAATTTATAATTCTAAGAAAGATTAGCTTCAATTAGGCTAATGTTTGATTTTGTGAGCTTTATAACTTTTAAATTACAAAATGTATTTATAATTGTATCCATTTTGATTCTAAAGGATCTTCGCAAAGTTTGAAGCGAAGTTGAGGGTCATAATCTTTTGAATTAGGCATTGTTCATATTCGTGCAGTAAATGAGTCATATTATCACAAAACTCTATTCCCACTATTTTAAAATAAGTTACAGTAAAAACGATAAGGAAATACTTAATTGCCCATCAACTCTAACATAAAAAGGAGTCAGGATGACAGTTTAAGAGCTATCCCTATACCAAATGTTTTTATCACATCAAAATGTCTTGCGGAATAGGATCATACAATTGACCACAATCACCAAATTAATGGAGAAACAAAGAAAACAATACATTAAAATTTACATGGTTCGCTCGAGTTGAGACCTACATGCATAGGAAGAGTAGCAGGAATAAAGTCACAATGAACAAGAAGATCACAAGCTTAGGACCAAGTCTCTCAATCTCAAGCCCACCCCCGATACCCATTGTTTCACACCATCTCTCACAATGCTATCCTCTCAAAACTTATCAAAGAGCAATCCTAGAAACTCTCAAGAGGCTCTTGCGTGTAATGTATGTAAAACCCTCGCAAAATAGGCTTTTGAACGAGTCCTAGTGCACTTGGGCTTATGCAAGCACTTGGCCAACAGCCCAGGCCCTTGTGCTCATATGCCTGGCCGTCCTTGCCTCCTTTAGAATCCTCGCCAACCCTCCTCAGGCATATCCACATATTCGAGCTTCAATCATCCCTCGAGGCTCGAATCATCGGCCGAGACTCAAGACAAACTCAACAAATCTTCTCCTTGACTCGAGTTTGCAGCCAAGTCCTAGTCTTGATTCGTCACTCCGTATTACTAATCACCTGGTCAAGTTGCCGGCTAGCCTTGAGGCTGCCTAGCCAACCCTGCGAGTGCACTATTCATAAACCGTAGGCGGTGCAGAAAAGAGGACGCTCTACCAGGAGCTCAAGAGATGTCGTAAACTCGACAGAGACTCGTTTTGAAGCCCATTTTTAGAGAGTTTTACATATATTACACATCAGAGCATCTTGGAAGTGTGTTTGGGATTTCATTCGGTGAGTTTTGATAAGAAAACATTGTGAGAGATTATGTAAAACATTTAATCCATTAAGAATCGCATTTTTTTAAAAGAGAATTGATGTAGCTCAAGAGGGCCAAGTGCCTCGTCAAGATGAATAATTAGAAACTCCATTCAATCCCCTCAGATTTATTAGTGAGCCTACACGCTATCGTCATGCTAAATGTGATACATACATACAAACTCTTCCTCTTTGAATTTCCAACTAGTTTCTAATATCTTTAACTTTGGAAACCACACTAACCCACCTCGTATCTCAAGTGAATACTCCGTGCTCTTAAATTACGTTTTCCTCCGTAGGATATGATAATTAATGTGACGTAATATATAATACATTTCTAGAATAGCAAGGAAAAAAGAGAGAAAATCTTGAAAAATGCAAAACAAAAAAACAAGAAAACAAAAAGAAGTTCAATTGCATTCTCTCTAAAGAGGGAAGAATTGATACTGCAAGAGTATTTTCATTCGGGTGTGAGAACTTGCTTGAAATTTTCCCATGTCAATCCTTTCTCAATGTACTCGACGTTAGAAGGGTTGAAAGGTCCTTTGATTCTGTCGATCGACTTGATTCGTGCCTTCGCCGGAAGAATGCCTCTCGACGGATCCGGCGATGTCCCATAGCTCAAGCTTGAAGAAAATCCCTGAAAATTAGTTTTACACTACTAATTTTATAAATAGCAACCAAGCATATATGATTTAGTACGTAATTTTCCCCCCTCCATATCTCCTAGAAATTGAGCCAAAGGGTGCAACTGTACTGCTCTTCTACGCTTATTATTTTCATAGTGAAATTTATACCCGCACTAATATGAGAAGTACGATTTCCCAGTCAAAGTGTCGCCAATGTTAACTTCTAAACGTTCCTCAGAAAGATCAATAACGATTCAGTTCGGTTCATTTAAAGATCGTTTCGTCTCCATCCAACATAAACATTCGATGGACTGACCTTGTAGATGAGGACTTCTACTTCCTCTCCGTCCACAGCGGCATGCACCACAAGAGCTTCCCCTCTTGCGGACTGGCTGTACAATTCCAACATCGCAATCTCCTCGTTGTGGCCGTACTCTTCCCCATCGCTTCCGTCTTCCTCACCCTCCTCCTCCTCCTCGCCGCCGCCGTACCGCAATGACCTCCGCCTCGCGGCACACCGGATGGTCGTGTCGTGCAGACGGCTCTTGCATGGCTTTCGAGCTCCGAGGGTGAGCTTCGTCCTCGTGGACGAGCAAGGCTGTTCGTGAGTGGTTGGGATGCTTGGGAGCTTGGGCTGTGAAGGAAGAAGGGTCGCCCATTTGCCTAAGTTGTGAAGCATTTTTGTGTGTGTGTGAGTGTATGGTCAAACGTTGTAGTTCTGAGGATAAGGTCATGTCGTGACCTATTAGTTGAAGTTGGGGAAGAACCACAACCTACTCTAATTTGACTTTTTCTTATGCTTTTTTTTCTTTTTTTATGTTTTCTCCGAAAATTTATAATGTACAACAATCTCGCGACTTTTAGAGAAATGTGAGACAAGCTTAAATGATTTGATAGATGACTGCTTATATATTTTGAGGGCGTATTATCTTAAAATATTGGAAGGATACAACGTTTATATGATTCGCCATGGACTAGGTGAGCTTTCACTATTAATGCGATGCGTCTACACAAGATGTGATTGATATCTCATGCCTCATGTGAGATCGTAACATTACAACCGACTTGAATTAGTCATCGCCCTCATCTAGAAAGTGGCATTAGCCTAGAATCAATCCTTGACTCAAGATTTGCAGAAGGACAATTGTGACAACTATAAATTCCTAACACACATACACGCGACGCCATTTTCATGAATTGAGTTTTATCTTTATTTTGTTCACACTTTACCCCGATGCCTAAAGCCCCGCTTTTAAGCAGATTCAGTTAAGACAAAGAATTTAGACCATGACAAATTGGAGTAATGACAGAAAATAAATTGTGGTGAATTTTCTGGACTTGGCTAAGAGTGTTGTTGTAGTAAAAAAAAAAAAATTCGCCCTTTGGATTGGCCTTGGGCCTGTCCGATCAAGCCTAGGCCATCAGAGGACTCGGGGGTGGATAACCCATTTCTTGTGCTAGGCCCAGCTTCATACCTCTATCCAAGCGCAAGCCCCGGATCGGCCCTTGGGGTCCTACCCGGAGCAGTTCGCCCCAAAGGGTGACTAGCCCTATTTAGGGAGCAACTCCCCGGCATCAAACGGGGTGGGTGAATCGGGTAAAAAATGATACGATCCAAATTGACCCATTCAATTCGTGTTGACTCATTTTTCATGGAATGCAAATCTAGTGACCTATACTCCCGATTAGACCTGTATTACTAAAACATTCCATGTTTAACACAATCTAGGAAAACTCATATCCAAACTAATGTGAAAGCATGGAGTGAATGAAGAGAGAGTCTTGGAGACGAGTTGAATCTAAGTAAGTTATGAATCCATTTAACATGTATATTATTTTGGGCTTTACCGTTCTAAATCCATCTACGATTCATTTATTGAATATAACTAACTCATATAACAACACAACCCATCAAATATCGGTCAGCCCTATGGTGGAGGCATGTCACCCTAATCCCGACACGCTCCGTTCTCTTTTTTTCATTTCATGACACGTGGACCTTCGAAAGGTCCTCCTAAACCCAAATCAGAGAAGGCTTCTTGTCGCGATGCGCGAGTTCGACCGTCGACTCCGACGTCGCTCTAAACATATCGGAAAAAAAATGATGCTTTTGACATGTATCCCTTGGGATCTAGGTTGTATCCAAATATTGGTGCTTGCCGCTTGCTTGCCGCTACTACTAGGCTACCAGCTCCCCTCCGAAAACGGCGACGTAGCAGGACGGGGAATGGGACTCGAAGACGAACGGAGATGACACCGCACGCGAGGGGGGATCGCGCGTGGGACTGGAAGTGGAGGTGGGGGCCCACAATATCCCATCGACTGCCGCGCCGCAATTATTGGCGCTTTCCTCTCCTCTGCCCGCGTCAACTCTCCTAATCAACAAACCTTAATAATCCCAATTAAAATTGTTAAGAAAAAAAAATTCGCAGCAGCAGGAGGAAAAATAAAATAATGAAAAAAAATCTTATCCACGCCGAAATGCTTGGTTATTGGTGACGTCATAAATCGCGGCGGCGCGTGAGGTGCGCGCGGGAGGCCCGCGCACGACGCCGGGGGCTTTCGTTTTCGCTTTAAGAAGGAACTAATCAACGAAATTAAGAAAAATAAATAAATTAAATGAAAATGAAAATGAAAAAAAAAAGGGGGGGCGCTTCCGTTGGGAAGGCCAGAAGAGTCGGTAGCAGTGATTGTTAGTATTTTATCGAGACGACTTCAATGGCGTCCCCCCTCCTCCTCCTCCTCGTCATGACCTCATCATCACCGTCATCATCTCCTCCTTCCACCGCTCGTCAACCACCGCGCCGTTCCTGAGTCCCTCCCCTACCGACCTCTCCGATTCCGGCGACCGCCGGAGGTTCCCGTCCCGTTCGCCTCGCTCTTGCTGCTCGGAATCCTAGGGTTCGTTCCCGCCTCCAGATCCGTCGATGCTCGGGCTCGGCGTCGGCGTCGTCGTCGTCGTCGGCTCCTTGGTCTCCCTTCTGCGACGATCGGGGAATGGCGCTTCCTAGTTTCGCGGATACCGGTACGCGCTAGGGGCTCGGGCGTTCTTTTTATTCGGGTTTCGAGGGGGAAGGGGGGGGGGGGGTTCGGTTCGGGCGATGGATGCCTTGCGGAGAGGAGCGGTTCAGCCGCCGGCGGCGGCGGCGGCGGGATACGGCCCGCACGCCTCGGGCAGGGGCGGCGGCGATTTGGCCGTGCCTGATCAGTTCCCGGCCGGTCTGAGGGTCCTCGTGGTGGATGACGACCTCATTTGCTTGAAAGTGATGGAGCAGATGCTTCGCCGCTGCGCGTATAACGGTAGATTGCTTACCCCGATTTCGTTTATTTCGTCCGCTCTCGTTTTCAGTTCGTGTGTGAATTTTTCAATTTTGCAGTCGTCTTGGTGAGTCGGAAAGGTTTTCTGTCAGGTTAATTACTCTTAGTTCTCAAGTAACCATTTCGTGCTTGACTGTGGAGCAGGGACCATGGTTCGGCCGAGGTCCAACTTCCAAGTGCTTAAGTAGGGATCGATAGGGTAATTGATGTCCATGGAAGTGGGTTGTTGGGAAAGTTGGCATGCTCTTTCATTTCAAAGCAATTGGTCAGCTATATTTCTAAGTATGTTTGCTAGTTGTAATAGATTGACAGAGCGAGAACAGATGACAGATTGCTCAATCTTAGGTGCGCAGCTTCTCTTGATGGATCAAGGCTGAAACTATGTTGGGAATCTGAGGTAGTGGAGTTAAGCATAACCTGGAATATTTAGGTTTTGAGTGGCGATGGCATTTTGTTGGTAACTTCATTTGTTACTACTTATTGTCAGGATTTAGGAATGATATCATCTCCATTTCATATGCTGTGAAGTGCTAGGGCATTTTTGCTGTAGAGAAGGTGGGTATAAATGACCAAGAACCATACAATAAAGAAAATGAAACTGTTTGAGGAAAGGGACTAATCTGAAGCTGTTCTGTGGGTCGCGGGGATCAACTTTCTTACCACTAACTGTTCAATACCAACAATCTCAGCAAATGTGAGAAGTAAAATTTTTTAACTGTTATTGCTAGACTTCTGTAGTTCCATGTATATGTGAAGTATACTGCCTTCATCTATTCGAGTAAAATGATAACTAAAATAGCTGAAGTGTACAGTTATTGTCCCTCATGTTCTGCATAGGTACAACGAGGAATCATACTACTATGACAACTGTGGAATAGTAACGGAGTTTGCGATAAAACAAATGGATTTGAAATTGTGATTGAGAAGAAAGAGCTACTGTCAAGATAGGAAGCGGGCATTTTGTCAAGACCTTTTGTTTTTTAGACCTTTCGAAAATCGTGTACATGCAATTAGCCCTGTAGATGAATTCCAGCCTTTACAACTCAACAGTTAGTGTCACCTTTTTCATTTGGCAGATTGTGAAAACTTGAGGAAAACGTGAGATTGGATGACAAATGAATGATTAAAATAGTATTATAACTGACAGTATCTTTGGTTTGGGAGACTTGGTGGGAAGAGAAGAGATTTGAGGGAGGGACTTGTAGAGTGCATTGTTTGGTTGATTTAACTGGAAGGAGTTGAATGGATATAGAGAGATACTTCTTTGCTCTCTTGTTAGTTTTATGTAACTTCTGAATTCCTCCAGGTCTCTCCAAAAGTTGGATGATTGGGATGGATTTGATTGCTACTTATCATTTAGGTCACTTTTGTTTGATCTATGTTTATTTCCTTTGTTGCCGTTTCATTCTCTCTATCTCATCCAAACTACTAGAAACTTAAATTCATTCTTTTCTGTTCCCATCTTTTCTCTAGTGATTATTTCGATGCTTTCTCTTGTTTCCAAATCATGCCATCCAAACATAGGGTAAGAATCCATAAGTGGTTGATGGAGAATGTTTGAAAGCATCCAGGAATGGAAACAAGTCGTGTAGCAAAAAATGAGGAGCATGTTTGGTCATGGTCTGGATGGTGGCATGTAGCATTTAATCATCCATAGAATCTGGTTCTCTAAAAGGCAAAGTGCCAAAAAAACTGTCACTACCTGAAAGCTGCATTGTGTTGGTTGACCTTTTGTTACAAATATTTCTTTGAAGGAAGCATTTGAAACGGAAGCTGGAAAACTTGTTTGAGGCAATTCACACCTTGAATGTTAATTTTATTGAAAAAAAAAGATGGAGGTAATTGGTTTCAGACAAGCAAAGGAAGAAAAGTTGCATGAGCAGGGATATGTTCATCTCTTGTTCTTTTACTTGGTAGTGAAATGAGAAAGAGGAAAAGAAATAATGGAAGAATGCACGGTCTTAAACAATGATGTCTTGATGGTAGATATACAAGGTATGCAAGCAGACAAAGCTCCTCAAAATTGAGGTTATGATTTTGAGGTGCTTCTCTGGTTGCAGCCTATTTATACTTTGTACGTGTACAGTACTATGAGGTCATTAAATTTTTCAATGGAATAAATTTTTACCTTATTTTGTGGAAACCAATTCGTATCCTAAAGATCATGTAAAGAATGAGAGAATTGCTATGTCATAATCTCTACACCACCTATATCACATCGTGGAAGTACTCACTAGGGCATCTTACACTTTTTTTTCCTAATAGTGTAGTTAGATGCCCTTTTAATAAACATTGCTTGGAAAAAACTATTGTTAAAAAAAATGATGTGTGGTGCCACAATCTGCAGTTCGTTCCTTTTTTCTCCTTCTTTTTGGTTTAGCAGAGCCATAATCTTCTGGCTGACAATCTATATGATAAATATGCAACTAGTTCACAATTAAGAGGTAGCTAAAATTTGGGTGCATAAACTCTGGTGAACTCTTTTGATGACTTTTTGTTTGATGCAGTTACAACTTGCTCCCAGGCAACTGTGGCATTGAATCTTCTCCGAGAGAAGAAAGGCTGTTTTGACATTGTTTTAAGTGATGTTCACATGCCCGATATGGATGGTTTTAAACTCCTCGAACATGTTGGGCTCGAGATGGACCTTCCTGTTATTAGTAAGTATTATTTTGTTTGCTTGAGATATGGATTTCCCTTTTGTTATGAAAACCAAATTTGACAAAATCCTACTGCAGTGATGTCTGCTGATGGAAGCACGAATGCTGTTATGAAAGGAATCAGACACGGAGCATGTGATTATCTTATAAAACCTATTCGCCCTGAAGAGCTTCAGAATATATGGCAACATGTTGTTAGGAAAAAATGGAATGGAAATAAGGAGATTGAACATTCAGGAAGCCTAGAAGATAATGATCGGCATAAGCGAGGAAGTGATGATGCTGATGGTTCTGCTGTTAATGAAGGGGTGGAAGGCTTGTTGAAATCCCAGAAAAAGCGCAGCATTGCTAAAGAAGAAGATGATCCTGAATTGGATAGTGACGATCCTTCTACATCAAAGAAACCACGTGTAGTGTGGTCGGTGGAGCTCCATCAACAATTTGTCAGTGCTGTAAACCAACTTGGAATTGACAGTATGGTCTTAGACTGTGATTTTGTGCTTTGTTTTCTTTGTGTGCTGGTTTTATGATGATATGAAGGAACTTAAAGTAGAAATAGTGAAGGAGGTATCCTCATTATAGTTTTCAGGACATAAGCATCATCAAAGTTGTAGCCACTGTTTGCTACCTCTGAATTGGTTCCTTTGGTTTCTTTTTCAGAGGCTGTGCCAAAACGAATCCTCGAATTGATGAATGTTCCTGGCTTAACTAGGGAGAATGTTGCAAGTCATTTGCAGGTTTGTTTACTTCTCCTTCCCCACATGCCAGTCAGTTTTCATTGGCTGTATATCGTTTCTTCTATGTTGATAGCTCTATCAGGGAATGGTGACCAATATACTCTTGTGAGAAACATCTAGGCCTTGTGTCAAAAATTTAGAGGCCCGAGTAGTCGATGTGTATTACCAAGTCATTTTTCTTCTTTCATGTCAAAAGAAATTCTTATACTTTGGCACTTTAAGACAGATACTAGACTAAACTGCTAGAAATAAGGCAGGCTTGGGGGGTTCCAGATAGGCGTTGCATAGGGATGAAGGTGAACTTTGTCTAATCAGTAGGATTTTTGGCAGTTGTAGCTGAAAATCCTTGATGGCAGAGCTGTTTTCCTGATGTTCCTAGTAGTATAAATGAAATGTTAGAGCATTTTTTTGACATACCACTTGAGTATTTCTAGCTGCTTGTAATTCCCTTTTTGATAAATTGCTGAATTGCTTGTAAATTAAAGAAACGCAGCTTTTGAATTTTTGATGCTGAAGAACTTGATTTTATGGATTTTAGGTCAGTGTAGGTTTCACTTGGATGAGGCTTTAATTTCTTTGGATATGTTTGACAACTGAAAAGGAACCTATTGCTGAGTTGCATTGCTGCATCAGATCAAAATGTTAGGTTAGCTTTGATTTGCTTGCTGAAGTCTAAATCGGCTGGAGATATCTGGGACAGTTCCCTTTTTCTGATTAAAGTAGCTGAGGGGAAGATGTGAGGATTCTATATAGTTCAGAATTTTTTCAATGCAGAGGCTATTTAATAGCTCAAATCATTTTATTTTCTGAAAAAAAACCATTAAATCACATGTTACCTCTTAGCTGTATCTCGGGTTTATAAGAATTGTTATCAAGCCATTTGGTTATTGGTTGAGGAATAGAGGTTGGATCTTGATGAGAAGTTACCATCAGATCAACTTTGGTGTTTTTGATCATTTTATAGTGATTATTCAGTTAAGAATGAAAAGAGGTGGCGTAGAGGCAAGTAGGAATGGTTGTGAACTTGTTAAAGGGAATGGTGTTGTCGCAATGACATGCAACTTACATTATTGGTCAATCACCATAAAAAACTTTGAATTACTTAACTCGTTATTATGCTCGCAATTATTTCTTTTTACTTCCTTTCATACTGATGTAGCATGAATAAATTCTTGTTTGTAGAAATCAACGGTTTTGCAGAAACTGGTTACTGTTGTAACCATTTGAACTGAACACGATATTATTTTTTGTCAGTTGCACAGAATGTCTAGTTGATCTAGTTTTTGTATTATCATCTTGTCTGGGTACTGAGTTTTGCTTGCTGTGTCAAACAATTTCAGAAATTTAGGTTGTATTTGAAGAGATTAAGTGGAGTAGCTCAGCAGCAAGGTGGGATATCTAGTTCATTCTGCGGACCTGGAGAGCCAAATGTCAAGTTGGGGCCCCTGGGAAGATTTGATATCCAAGCTTTGGCAGCCTCTGGTCAAATTCCTCCACAGACATTAGCAGCACTGCAATCTGAGCTTTTGGGTCGACCAACAAGCAACCTAGTGTTACCGTCATTTGATCAGCCAACTCTCTTACAAACTTCCCTGCAGGGATCCAAGTGTCTTCCTGTTGAACATGGTGTGGCATTTGGTCAGCCTCTGATTAAATGCCCATCTAATGTCTCCAAGCAGTATCAACAGTCCATTCTATCGACTCAGGATGCTCCTTCGGGATTTGGACCATGGCAGGCTACTAGCCTTAGTATGGTTGGAAACAATAACATTGTCGCAGGGTCAAGTATTCAGAGTAATAACACTTTGATGGATATATTTCAAAGACAGCAGCATCACTATCAGCAAAAGCAGCAATTACAGCAACAGCAGCAGCAACAACAACAACAACTACCACAACAGCCTCTCCCAGAGCCTAGCCGTTTAATTAATGTGCAACCATCTTGTCTCGTTGTTCCCCAGTCATCAGCTGGTTTTCAAGCAGCGGGTAGTCCTGCTTCTGTAAACCAGAGTTCCACCTTCAATAGAAGTACTGTCATTGACTACAGTCTTCCATCATACCAAGGCAATACTGCTTTAAATAATGGTCTGTCCTCGGATAAAGATCTCAAAACCTCTGGTGTACTTAGTGGTTACTCTGTACAAGGTTCCATATCACCGACTTTGTCATCTAGTTCGGCGAATGCTGACAGTAGCAATAGCTGCCAACTTCGGAATCCATCTGCAAAATATAACATCATTGGACAAGCACCAGGTGCTGTTTCTAATTTTTGCAATATCCAGGGTTCTTACGATGCTAAGTCAGGTGAAGCCATTGATCAAGGACCGCTAAAGAATCTAGGATTTGTTGGTAAGGGATCAGGCACCCCAAGTTTCTTCACAGTTGATGAATATGGACCACAATTGAAACACATATACAGTGGAAAGGTCCATCTGGAGAATGGTGCGAGTAGAGTCAAACAAGAACCGAGCTTTGACTTTGTGGATGCAAAAGTGTCTATCCCAGTATTGGAGCAACTTTCTTCGAATGATCTTATGAGCGTTTTCACGGACTAGGTAAAGTTTGTTTCTGTTTTGTTATTCTTCTGTCCAGTTTCCTATGCACATCATATTGTCAGAAATCATGACTTTACCTATTATATTATGTTCTTTAGTTGCGTCTTTCCTATTGTTCTGGAATCTTCACTTTCCCCCTCGGCGTAGGACCTTGATCAATTTTGTTGCTATATTATAGACAGCCTTCTGAGAATGTAAGCTGTCTCAGTGGATGTTCCTGCATCCCTCTGTATTAATATCCACTTTTTCCCTGGACATAGGACCATGTCACCTTGATGGATTTTTGTTAACAAATTGTGGTTGCTGACTTTGTCAAATATGGTCAGCAGTGAACTTGTTATGAGGTGGCGGTAAAATTGAATGAGTGTGCAAAATCATTGACCTTTTCAACAACTCCCCCTTTTTTTTTGGTCAGATTTCAACAACTCCCTTAAAACTATGTTTTTCCAGCACAATATTTATGAGAAACTGCAAGGGTCGTTCTTTGCTTCTCTGCAGGCACTTGTTAAATTATGACTGCTGAATTGCCGCCTGTCCAAGGAATCTCACACAGCAGTAGTTTTCTTCATTGTGCTCCCACTTTAGTACAATTGGCATTATGTCCACTATATGCAAGCTGGGAATTGAAGTCTTTACCTGTCATTTAATTCACATGGTTTTTGACTTACGAATTTGCAGTCAGTATTAGTTGAAACTTTTTGCACATGTTGGTCCTTCATAGCTATCTGATTACCTAAGCCTTGACCCTCTTTTGCGATAACCATAGTTACATGCAATTGGCTAACAAATTACCCTTTCCACAGGATACCTCTGCTGCTTGATTGGTTTGGAGGCTCCGTTCCATTTGATCGAGAAGCACAGATTTATCCACTTCTTGGGGTGGAGCGGATTCTGGTTCGACACTGTAATGTTTTCTTCTAGAGATTTTACTAATTGTTCCCGAACCACGTGTATAAATGCATTTCATTAAACTTATGGGTAGTTCTGAGGTCAAAATAAGTTGTATTTAATATTTAGGGGCTTGGTTTCACCTCTTGGTGTCACATTTGACTGATGTGTAGTCATTTGGACTAGGATGTCAATATCCATTTATTCATTGTCCTACTTCTTGAGCTGTGTGATACTGAAGCTGCTGCTGTCTTTCCTCGAGATGCAGAAAACTGTTTGTAACCTTTTGGTGCTTAGGCTGGTTTTGCCGCCACGACCACCCTCTGACGGGATTGCTTCAAACGAGCAAATCTCAATCTTGAGATATCTTTTCACTTTCAATTACGTATTCTATTGCTCGGTTTGTTTCTTCCGAAGAAGTGCGATTGTCTTCCTCCTCTGAACTGAGGACATATTTGATCTGGGAAAAAAGAAGTGGGATAGGACTTTTTTTATTTTTTGAGGGGGGGGGGGGGGGTCGAAAGATAGGACTTATATCCAGCATGTTTAATTGGCATGTGGAGAAGCTACTTTGTTGATGGATTAAAAGTTAGTTCCCTCATGTAGAATAACTAATTACATGACAGAAATTCCTAGCTATATAAATTCTCTAATGGTTATTTTTTTCTATAGGACCTTTCTAAAGTTACTTGTGCAGTCAAGACGTCGTAGCACTTGTGGAATAGTTATTGGCGATCAACATATGCGAAGTTGCTTTTTTTCAAATCGTGCAAGTGTTGCTAATTAAAGATGAATAGACTATAAGGATTTCTATTAAAACTTACTACCAAATGCGATTTTGTAGTATTTCTGTAACTTTTCATTGGGAAAAATAAAGCATTAATAATGGAGTGATTATATCATTTTTATCTTGGAAAAATTATAAAAAAAGTCCCAAATCTATTGTATTTGTGTCAATTTAGTTTTTTTTGTCGTTGTTAATTTAGTCTTAAACTTTTTAATTTGGTCAATTTAATTATAAACGTCCAGACTAAGCGAGGGTCGCCTTGCCTGTGGCTGGTGAGGCCACGATCGAATTTTTTTATGAGTGTTTTCATGGACTAGGTATAGTTTGTTTCTGTTTTGTTATTCTTCTGTCCATTTTTTCATGCACACGGTATTGTAAGAAATCGTGACTTAACCTATTATATTATATTCTTTAGTTGCGTCTTTCTTCTGGAATCTCCACTTTCCCCCTCGACGTAGGATCTTGATCAATTTTTTTGGACAATTTTCGTACCAGTTTGGGATTTTGGATGGTATTACCCCTTTTCCAAATGAAAAGTAATAGAAATACTACTTAATCGCATCCTAGTAAGTTTTAACAGAAATACTGAAAGTCTACGTACTACATTTATTTTAAACTAATTTTTATGTCACAAAAACTCCTAAAGTGGTATACCTGTGCAAAAACTAATTTTAAACTAATTTTTATCCAAAACTAATATATTCATGTCAGTTTTATCCTGAATTGTGGTAAATCCAAGATTTTTTGGAGTAAATGTGGTACAATTGCTTCAGTTTGGGGGTAAGTGTGGCAAGAGTATATCGGTTTGGGATTTTTTGCGACAGAAAAATTAGTTTTGAATAAATGTGGCATGAATACACCAATTTGGGGTAAACGTGGCGTGGAGTACCAGTTTGAGAGTTCTTGTGATGCAAAAATTAGTTTGTGATAAATGTGACATGTATGTACCAGTTTGTTTTTTTTTTTGCGGTATAAATCGAAAATAGAGCGGGTAATAATCAAGTGATTATACTATTTTTATCTTTCGCCGTGATTAGTAAGGAAAAGTGTATGCATATGTCAGAAACTTAAAATTAATTTCACGAGATTAGTGATTTATCATAAGGACAAATAGCTTTCATCCTCTAAATAGTTAACAACTTTTTCATAGGAGGTGACTTTATTACTTGAAGAGTTAGTATGCATCAGTTTCGATAAAAAAAAAGAAGCATGCATCAGTTGCTACTAAAATTTTCATGGTTGGTAGATTTTCAATAGAACAAGTACCTTTAACACCATTTTTCAACACGGTGTTAAACAGTAGAAATGATTGTTCAAACCTTTTGTTTTGTAGAGTGCTTGAAGTTTAGGCCACAACGTTTTGGCATCCTTCTCACCGACTACCTTTATTAACATCTCATCTGATAAGTTCAGCAGGACAATACTCCTTGCATTCCTCATTAACATGTCATTTTCGGCATCTTTTATTGTTTTGGACAACTTATCGTTACCTTCCAATGCTTCGGCCAAATCTTGAGTTGTTAATAGCGGCTCCACCTCAACGCATAACCGAAATTGTTCCTCTCATTAAACTTCTCAATTTCGACTTTTACCCTAGATATAATTGCAACAACAGAATTTCCATATTTCTTCTTTTTCCATTAGACTTGAAGTGCAAGATCCATTAGTTTCACAATACTTTCCATAAGGATAAGTAACTTTCAACTGATCAATAATTAGTATCTTTTCATATAGAACACTTTCAACACATTATGAATTGCACATGGTGTAATTTTTATTTATTTATTATAGTTTGGAATGCTGCATGATATAATATGGGATTTGAACCGTCACCGCTCAACGAGAAGGGCTACAGGGTCAACCCTTGCCTACATATGGACGAGTGGAAGTTGTCGCCACAGTGGAGGGATGACGTGGTCTCTATCCATGCGATCCTCCTAAATCAATGTAGTAAGCGATAAAAGGTTCTAACAGATTAAATAAGCCGAAATTCTTCGATGACTAAACGGGACGAAAGATCTCGAGTATGATTTGAAGTATTGAAACTCAGAGAAAATAGTCCCGAGCCTTGATTAGTGTCTAATTAATCTCACGGGTTATCAAACAAGGCAACAAGTTTTGAGATTCTTATTTAAGTAATATCGCGAATTAATTTAGGTGGACCTTCCCCAAAGAAAGTCCCGCGTCGGAATCACACCAATGGAAAAGGGAAAGGAAAATGAAAAGCAGGTAGTAGAACCAGTGACCCCCCAACACGCGGCGGTACTGTATACCTCATGGTGTGCTCGTGGGTCCGCGGCAAATTGCTTCCTTACCGAGCACGTTGGCTCATGCAGAGTCGTCACCTTCGGTCACCAAGAATGGCCCGCCAAGGAAGGAGGGAATCGTGGCTTTTCTAGTCTCTCTCTCCCTCCTATCATTACGAGAGTAGTGACTGAGAGAGTGAGAGATTGGCAAGTAGAGCCGGTGGTTCGTTATGCGGTGTGTGTCGTTGACTGAGAGGTTGACTTGGAGTTGACGACGACGAAGGAGACGCTCTCTCCTCTCTGGCGCTCTCTTTTCTACTCTCTTTCTCACCACAGAGACAGACCCTTCATTCCTTCACTGCCAAGCGAGCTCTTCAAGGTAAACTAGCCTTCTTCTTCTGCTTCTTCTTGTCTGTCAAGTTCGGGTTTTGGACGATCGCCGTTCTCTCTTGCTGTACCGCGACATTGTGTTCAAGAGTGCGAACTCCGTGTGACTGACGATCTTTTTTACGATCATGTGTGGATCTCACGGGGTTTTAGTGGTTTGGTTCGGAGGAGTCGCGGTGTTGGGGAACTGCTCTGCGGAGTGAGATGGTGCAGGTTAGGAAGGACTCTAAGTACCGTGAATGTCCCATATGATGTTCTTATTTCCGATTCCTTATTCTTTCTCCCGTGAAGAATTCATGGTCATCGGCACGTGAATCTCTTCGGGAAGGCAACTTTATTATCTGGAATTAGAATCCATCACTGTCATATGTCGATATGGTTGCCTGAACTTGTAGGCTGTTCTTGTGTTTTTCCCCGTGCTGGTCGCTCTCTTGCTACATGTGTACGATGCTGATTGAACCCCATTATGCCTGTAAATAGTTTTTCTGAGTGCTTTTCAAATAGCAGTGATCAAGCATCCATTTCATAATCAATCGCTATGATGATTCGTGGTAGTTTGAGGCAACCGTTACTTTATGTAAGTTCTCATGTTTCCTGTCACATGTTTTCCCCTTTCAGTACTGCGAACTTCATGGTTGGAGTTGAATGGTCCAACTTGTTTCTCAAGGGCCCTAGGCTGACGCTGTGCTGTCATTGCTGGTGACGTCCTTGATACGGTGCAGCAGAGTGCTATAGCGTTTTCATCAGTAGAATGGGTAAGACTGTATTCATAAGCGGATTCTCTCGGTTAGTGACTGTAGATAGAGTCAGGGAATTCCTGGAGCGAAGGACTGGGAAAGATACCATCTATGCCATCAAAGTTAGACCACACAAACGTGGGGCTGGATCACATGCTTTTGTCCAATTTATGGACCCTGGATATGCTAAGTTGATTATTTCATTGGCTAGTCAAGGTTTGCGGTATGGGTGTTCTCATCTGACTGCTGCCAAGGCTGAGCGTGATGTTGTACAGAGGCCAAGAACCCTTTCGCATTCAATTGAAGGTATAGCTTTGCATTTTGGCTGCCAGGTATCAACTAGAGGGTTCGCCACTCTGTGGACAGGGGTGAATGTCACTGTAAATTTTGGGGCGGGGCCGAGAAAATTCTGCTTTCTTATGTCTTATTCCGATACGGAGTATAGGCTCGAGTTATCCTATGAAAATATCTGGCAGATTGAGCTACACCGTCCAAGAGGCCGTAGAACCATGTATCTTGTGATTCAGGTGAGTGGACTTCATTTGAATCACGAGACTAATTTACTATTTTATGCTAATATTGTGATTTATCCTCCAATGAATATTTGGTTTTTACATTTCATCGGACATCACTTTGTGTGTGATCTCCTGAATCTATTGAACGTTAAAATTTTCCGTACTACATTATTAGCCATAGTGTTGGGATCTGATTTTTAGTTCTCTAAATGGGGGTTGTTTCAGGTTCCCAGTTGATGACTTGATGATAACTTATTTTCAAGATGTTATTTTTGTTTTAATTTCATGGTACTTATGCCTAGATCAAACGTCTCATGAACATGGATACCTTGCCCAGACCTTATCTTGACAGGGAAATGGCGGGCGGAACTCCAAATATATTGGTGGGCTCTGGTTGGGACTAGGAATACGCGTTCTGGTTTAGCCTCCTGTCTAATCAATTTGGGACACAAAGAGTCATTGGGCTAGGTTGCAATGAAGGGTCAAGGTAGTGAGTTTGTGGGAGTAAATGATGACTTCTCCAGAAATTACAATCTGCAAGGAATCACTTATAAAAATTGGACCAGTATAATGTATGTTCGAGAGAGACTTAGACATTAATAACATTGTAAATTAAGAGAGAGATGGTGGAAGAGGGCTCTTTAGAAAAGTAAGGTTGAAATTTTCGTCTTGGGACGCACACTGACTTAGCTTGGAAATAAGAACATGTTCTATTGACGCACCAATGACTAAGTGGCTGCCATCTCCTCCTCCCCTCGAATCCCCGATCTTGCAAAACTAAACCAAACAAGAGAAATGAAAAAAGTCATGGCTAGGAAGACTTGATTGCAACAGTTGCAAGGTTATGACTTCAAGATTTATGATATTCAATGCCATTTTCCGGGGTCAATAGTTTCCCAACTGAAACTCAGCATTTAAGAACTTACTAAGGCACAGTTAAAATCACAACAAGGCATGATAAAATTTTGTAAACTTTCTTAAAGGATAAGGCTTGGAGGTTTATGATCATAATCTTTCATGAGGTTGTTGTTTCTTGATTTTAGGAATAATGCGTCTTGTTAAATTAAATAATATCAATCTTCTTAGGCTACATGTTAATGTTAGATAAAGACAATTGTCTGATTCGCGTTTTGTTAATTGCTCTTAATGAACTTCTGGGTCATGGCAAGGTTGGCTAAGTAGGAAATTAAGCAGGGTACACAAGTTCCCTTCAGTGGAAGAGAAGATTTCATATCTGCTGATCATATTCTGGCATCTGGCTAATTTGGAACTTTTGGATGTTTTAGAGCCTTAGAGGTTTAGCAATTTACACTTTAGGCGTAGTGGCAAATGTTCCATGGAGGTAAATATATTGACGGACAGCATGGATATCCCTTTATAAGGAGCCAGCTTTCAGGGGTTCGGCTTCAGCCCTAAACTTTCACTTTTGCTGACATTAAAGAAACCCGGTCCTTAATCTATTTTCTTATGCTTGCACATCCCACTTGTGCATGCTTTTCTGCATGGTATATTGCTTATGATAGAGGAGGACTTGATAGATTTCTGTAAATTTTGTTCTTGTGGATGTTAGCTGTACGGGGCTCCTTTTATTCGTAAAAAAGTTGTTCAGCATTCAGAGAATTTTTGGGACAGTCCTCTCTACAACTTTTTCAAAGATGGCTCTGATGACCAGTGGGTGAGAGCGACTGATTTTACTCCATCAGCTTGCATTGGACAGTCTTCGGCTGTATGTTTAGAAATTCCTTGTGAATATCCGCTTCCAAATTTTCATGAGAACTTTGTCAATTATAAGGAAACCGATGGAACAATTTCTATGGAAAGCGGTTCTCCTTTCTCCTGCAGTGTGGATCTAGTTCCAATCGTAGGCCCTCCGAGAGGAGTTGACTTGCCTTATGAGGTCATCTTTAAGATAAATTTGTTAGTTCAGAATGGCTGTCTAGCCGGACCTTGTCTTGATTCTTCCTTTTATCAAATGGTTGATCGATGGAGGATAGACATGGACATAATCCTAGATGCCTTAGATAGACTGTTCCATTTGAAAGAATGCTGCTATGAGCCTTCAAAGTGGCTGATTAAGTGGCTGATTAAGAAGCGGCACAAGAAAAATCTCACCTCCCGGCATTCTACAAAACCGTCTTCAATTACATTGGATGCTGGATTGGTTTATGTATATAGGGTGCAAATAACACCATGCAGGGTGTATTTTTTCGGTCCAGAAATTAATGTCTCAAATCATGTATTGCGGAGTTATTCTAAGTACATTGACAATTTTATCCGCATTTCTTTTGTGGATGAGGACTTGGATAAAATGCATTCAACTGATTTATCTCCTCGCACCGCTTCGAGACATGGAAGGACAGATATATATGAAAGGATCCTTTCTATACTGAAGAATGGCATAAGAATAGGTAATAAGAAGTTTGAATTTCTCGCCTTCTCATCCAGTCAGTTACGCGAAAATTCTGCTTGGATGTTTGCTCCGACAAATGGGTGTACTGCTGCAACTATTAGGGCAGAGATGGGTGAATTCAGTAAAATAAGAAATGTGGCAAAATATGCCGCAAGACTCGGCCAATCATTGAGTTCATCTACTGAAACTCTCAATGTAGGTAGACATGAAGTTGAAGTCATTCCGGATGTTGAGAATATATGTTATAACTTCTCTGATGGAATCGGGAAAATATCTGAAGAGTTTGCTCGGAAAGTTGCAAGAAAATGTGGCTTCGAGGGCTATACTCCTTCTGCCTTTCAAATTCGCTATGGCGGATATAAAGGTGTTGTAGCTGTTGATCCAACATCGTATGTTAAACTATCACTCAGAAAGAGCATGTCCAAGTATGAATCGAATGAGACAAAGCTAAATGTCTTGGCATGGAGCAAATATCAGCCCTGCTTTCTGAATCGCCAGGTGATCACTCTTCTCTCAACACTTGGTGTTCCGGATCACGTGTTTGAGAAAAAACAAAGAAATGCTGTAGATCAGCTAAATGCTATGTTAGTTGATCCCTTACAAGCACAAGAGGCTCTAGATTTAATGTCCCCCGGCGAGAATGGAAAAATTCTCAAGGAAATGCTAATGTGTGGTTATAGGCCTGATGGTGAGCCATTTCTATCGATGATGCTGCTAACATTCAGAGCAGCCAAATTGTTTCTATTGCGGACAAAAACAAAAATATTTCTTCCTAAAGGAAGAAGGATGATGGGATGCCTTGACGAAACCCAAACTTTAGAATATGGTCAGGTGTTTGTGCAATATTCCGGTAGAAGGAAAAAACAGATGTTGGATGAGTCAATCATGTTCATAGGTACAGACTCAGATCAAAGGTCCGTTGTTCAGGGAAATGTAGTTGTTGCCAAGAATCCATGCTTACATCCAGGTGATGTGCGTGTTCTAACTGCTGTAGACGTGCCAGCTTTACATCATATGGTGGATTGTGTTGTTTTTCCACAAAAAGGAAAACGGTACGACTCTAGCATGCCTTGTTATTGGCTTACAATGACCTCAGTTGCACTGGCACTTGTCAAGGATCTATTTTGGACTTGTTTTTGCCTTTAATTGTGGATCTTTGACTATTGTATTGATTTGGGTTCAGTCATAGCATTAAGGTCTAAAATTTCTAATATTATGTTTGTACTAGGTCTGAAATAAATGGTCCCATGTCTAACCCAATTTAATATTTTCCTCATTTTCCATTGCCAAGGATAATTTTGACAGCTCTTCTTTAGAAATAGTTTTGGGCTTGCTTTTCTATCGCCTATAAGCTTTGAGAATAAATGCTTAAATGTTTATCCAGTGGGATTTGGTGGCTAGATTTGAATTCTTGTTAATCTAGCTCCTGGTTTGTCTCTTTCTTGAATGTGGTTTGAGTTCACCGATCGGAGGCTTCTGTGTAGATTCTGTACATGTGATGCGACTTTGCTAAGAAGCATCCTCTATTTTGCTGTTTTTCTAGCTTCTGATAGTTCTGGTTCTGGCTAAACACCGCTAGTTTTTCCCTTTAATTCTACTAGCTAAAAGTAGAGGCAAGAAATTCCTTCCCCATAATTTGGGTTAACTTTCTACTTTTAATCCTTCCAAACACACTGTTAATAGATAAAAGTAGAAAGCAATATATGATATTGATCTGTACTTATTTTGATTCTCATGTCAGACAATTTCTCTTTCTCAATGCATATTACGCTTCTTGAACGAAATAGGCCTCATCCAAACGAGTGTTCAGGGAGTGATTTGGATGGAGATGACTACTTTGTCTCCTGGGACTCAGAACTAGTTCCACATCACCAGATAGAACCTATGGATTACACACCTGCCCCGCTTGAACAGTTGGATCATGATGTCACTATTGAGGTAATGCTTTTCCTGAGGCTTTTCAGGGAATTCTATACCCTGTGATGACTTTTTTCTGATACCGTGAAACGTATTTAACAGCTTACAGTTTTAGGAGGAAATACATCTAGCATCCATCATCTTCGCAATGTCTTTCTTTTCATTCAACTTGGCTTGTCCGACATGATGCTGGGATTGTATTTCATCCTTGTGGAGGAATTTGGCGCGTGAGCATCATGTCATGTCAACCCTGCCATGTTCTTTTGTTTTCTTACTGGTTCCTTTGGCTTCTAAATTTGAATGCTTCTCTTTCTTCCTACCCTGGGTTGGAAGAACCCCCAAGAAGCTAAAGTTTGCACCTTTTGCAAGCAGATGACAGCTTAAAAATTAAGCATACAATTGGGTACGACTGGGCTCATTGATTCAACCATTACACAACACGGAATTAATTGTTTGACCAGGACTATTCTACGGAGACGTCCATTAAAGGGACTTGCACCCAGAATTCTCCTCATGTAGCTCATCAATGTTTGCTTGTTTTGAGGCTTTCCTAGCTTATCGATGCCTCTATTCATCTTCTGTCCTAAAAGCTAACCGCCAAATTTTTGCTCACAACTTCAGTCGCCACTTCGAACAAAGTGATATGAACCTTTGTAGGGAAACATGAAGCGATCACGGTAAATAATGAAGCGCTTGAGGCTGTAGTGTTGTCTCAACTGGGATTTGGATTCACCTGTGATCAGGGGCTATGTTGCTGGGACCCCGCAGTCCAAGTAACACAGATTAGGGGAAGAGCCACTCATCAAATGTGTCTATAAAGGCTTCCGGCGCCACCTCTTTGGTGCTGAAACCCTATTTTATCAGGCACTGTTGTTAAGCTTAAGCACATTACCAGGAAAAAATTCTAGCATGCAATTATAACTAATACCTTAAGTAGAGATGAGGGAATGAAAAGGTGGGCTTACCGACATCTAACGTGCTTTAAGTTTAGGCCAGTGTTCAGCCTACATGTGAGGAGAAGTGCTAGAATATTTAACAATCAAACCACACTTTCATCTAACATCTTAAACTTTTAGAACAATTAGCGGTGGTCCTACAAAATCTCACAGTGATCACGGAAATCATTATGTTCATACGCCAAGTGAAACTACCTTTTTTTATTTTTGGTCAGATGTGAAACTACCTTATCAGTATTGTATTTTCTCCTTGTCTAGATAACCGGTCAACGTAGGAATTTGATCGGAAGTACCCGAGATCGGTCCATTCAATTTCCTCCTTGCAGCGAAACTCTTCTATAGAATAGAGATTCGTCATGATAACTCGTCCTTGCTTTTGGAAGGAAAAGGCTTGGGCTGATACTTTGGTGTTAGCTGTTTGCTTGTTTTAACTGTGGCTTTTCTTAAATTGGGGTGTGGATATTATCGTTTATAGTTACCTGTATGGGTTTTATGGAAAGAATCTGAAGATATTTGTAATTAGTTTTTGTTCCAACGTGACTCTATCGGTAAAACTTTCGGGATAATTGCCTAATCAGTTCTCAATCTATTGTACTAATGCCAATTCAATCATAAATTTTTCAATTTCGCTAATGTAATCCTAAGCCTTTGTGCCAAAGTCCAATATAGTTTTTCCGGCCAATTGCCACCGGAAATTACTGACGTGGTGTCCAATTATCACCGGCCATTCTATGTGGCATGTTGACGTGGACAATTTATGGAGCGCCACGTCAGCTATTTTGGGCGGCAATTGGCAAGAAGGAATTAAGTGTAATTTCGCACAAAAATTTAGAACTATATTGACAAAATTGAAAAGTTTAAAACTGAATCGAAATCTGCACATTAGGTTCACAACAGAATTGGTAATTTTTCCTAAAAACTTTGCCTTGGTTTTTTAATTTACCTTCTTGACCTTGGATTTGGAACCTGCTCTTCGCTGCTGTTGAGAATTTCCTGTTCTTTTTAAGCGTAGTCGTTATGAGGCTATAATTTCCCATGCATATACGTTTACTAAGACGGGTATATACACCGTTCTTTAGCTTCGCGGAACATTTCCTTTTCATAATGATGAAATGAACGGATTATTGCAAAACATTGGGAATTTTGGAACAGGAAGTGGCCAGCATATATATTCCTTGAACGCTTACGAGAAGATGTATATCTGAGCGTACCTTTATTTTCATAAGGTAATGAGATCATATATGCGGGAGACCAAAAAGTTGCATGTGTACCTTTTATTAGGTAATCGATGATCAGTTATGCGGGAGATCAATGAGTTGCATCAAGTTTTCAACCCCTTGATTTCTCTTGTAATGCTCCATGGATATGGGGGGAGTAACGCAACTCTTTTTGTGGTTATGTTGCTTAAGCAGGAAGTGGAGGAGTACTTTGTAGATTACATGCTCAATGACAGCCTTGGAATTATTGCCGATGCCCACACCGTGTTTGCAGATAGGGAGCCTGAAAAGGCCATGAGCGCCAAATGTTTAGAGCTTGCAAGACTTCACTCTACAGCTGTCGACTTCCCGAAAACTGGTGTACCTGCTGTGATACCACCTCATTTGTATGCCAAAGAATGCCCAGACTTCATGGAGAAGCTTCACAAGTCCAGCTACCCATCCAATAGCGTGATCGGAAAGCTTTTCCGGGAAGTCAAGGAACTAGCATCATCTGCATCGAGCTCTATTACGAAGTTCACACTGGAAATGGCGAGACAATCTTACGACCCGGATATGGAAGTGGACAGATTTGAGGAATACATCGACGAGGCTTTCTATCTCAAAGGCAATTATGATTACAAGTTGGGGAATCTGATGGAGTACTATGGGATTGACACGGAGGCTGAAATACTTAGTGGCTGTACAATGAAAATGCCCAAATCTTTCTCCAAGAGGAGGGACACCGAAGCCATTCCTAAGGCAGTAAAATCCCTGAGAAATGAAGCGCGGACCTGGTTTTATGATAAGGGAAGTGGTTCAGATCCTGAGGCTGTTGATGAATATGCAAAAGCGTCTGCTTGGTATCATGTCACGTATCACCCGAGTTATTGGGGTTGCTATAACGAGGGTTTGAATCGAGATCATTATCTTAGCTTTCCTTGGTGTGTATATGATAAACTAATCCAAATTAAGAAGATAAAAATAGGTAGGATAACTGCTCGGATGCCCACTCTTGAAGACCACTTCACCCGTGGATTGTGCCTGATCTGAGAAATCCTACTCAGTTTTTTTCTAAGTTGAAGAAAGGGGAGTTATCGTGTTCTTGTGTCTTCTGCAAATGTGTAGGCAACGGTACTCCTAAACTCCTGCTTTTGTGTAGCAAAGCTTGAATAACTATTTGTGCGTGCTTTTCATCTTTTACTACATAATGGTAATGTCTGACGGCTGTTCACTGTTTACGGTCTCTCCAAATGGGACTTCGTGTCACAATAATCGTCGGTACCCTGTAAATTTCTATGTATGAAAGTTATGCTTCCATGCCATAGGTTCCTCCGATTCCTAATGCTGGTGGATTTGAACATAATAACATCTCTGTAAGTTCAGATAACAGCCGTTGTCCAGATGATGCTGCATCAGATTCGGTTTGCCGTGAAATTTGAGAATAATATCATGCTCTTGCAATGTGTGATGTCGGAAAATTTTGCAGCAGTTGTGATCACGGGAACGGCACACTCTGTAGCACAAACAAGGTTTTCTTATGAGGAATTTTGATGCCAAAGGTACATGGTGCTCTCGAAAAAAGGAGCAGAAAAAATTGCTATCCATTTTTTCACTGCACCAAAATCTGTAGTTCGAAAAACCAGCTTCCAGTGAAGTAATCGTTTAGGCTCGCAAGCGTAGGTTTCACAATACAATGTACCTAGTTTCTCTCTTTCTTCTTTTCTCGTGGAATAAATCGAAAGAAGTTACACAGTCGAGCCTAATATCTACTTAAAGAATTTGGATTATGTACAGAAGCTACTCCCTGCATGACGACGGCCAACTTAATGCTGCGTGACTTTATTTCTTGAAGAAGCACCATCACAAGAGTACCAAAAGGTCAATACATTCAAGCTTCATTAACAAAAGCAATACAAGTACTGTAAAGATCAGACCAGGAAAGTGCTGATCTCCTCACTCTATTCAAATTTTGTGTACATTTCATATGACGTATGAATTAGAATAATTTCGACCAAAAAAAAAAATGAATTAGAATAAGAATAAAAATAATATCTGAAATTATATTAGCAAAAAAAATGTGGAACTCACTCTCAGTCTCAGGGGCGCATTATTTACACTTCAGTATCACTACCAGTTAGCTTCCTTGAAGAAAGGCATAGTTTTTTTTTTGGTCGAAAGAAAGGCATAGTTTAACGGGTGGAAAATTCCTTATTTTTCCCAAGAAACGATCAAACAGTGAGGAAACCAGGCGCGTAGTACAACCAATCGGGTGGCAGGGAAGCGAAGAGCGTATTATAGTCATTAGATGCATTGTTGTTGAATAGGACTCGGAAATCGGGCACTCGAGAGGAGAGGCCTTGTGTGATGTACATGCGTCGAACGGCTTCTAGGATGTTCCGCACCATGACACAAGTGTTTGGTCCGTGTTGATTGTAACTTCTCTTAAATATTACTGGTGGATTCCAACCGCTAGTAAGGCGGTTACTTGAGAGAGTGGACGTACACTTGAAGATAAGCTGAAACGCTATATATTATTGTGTGCTATTTTTATCTATTTATTATTGCCCATGGGTGTCTAATAGGAAGCAAGGAAAAGTGTCAAAAAAGTTTTAAACCTTTTGCATTTGTGCCAATTTAGTCCTAAACCTTTTTTTGGTGTCAATTCAGTCCTAAACCTTTTGCATTGATGCTAATTGAGTCCTAAACCTTTTTTTGATGTCAATTTAGTCATAAACCTTTTATATTGGTGCCAATTTAGTCCTAAACATTTTTTTGGTGTCAATTCAGTCCTAAACCTTTTGCATTGGTGCTAATTCAGTCATAAACCTTTTGCATTGGTACCAATTCAGTCTTTCAACACGTGAATAGCTATTAGCTGGAAGGACTAAATCGGCACAAATGCAAAAGGTTTATGACTGAATTGGCACAAATGCAAAAAGGTTTAGGACTGAATTGTCACCAATGCAAAAGGTTTAGGACTGAATTGACACCAAAAAAAAGGTTTAGGACTAAATTGGCATCAATGAAAAAGGTTTAGGACTGAATTGGCACCAAAAAAAGGTTTAAAACTCAATTGACACCAATGCAAACGATTTAGAACTTTTTTGACATTTTTCTCAATAGAAGCATTGGCCTTCTTCTTGTTGTTAATCTATTCTTGCTACAGTCAAAGTACATCTTGTTATCTACAAGAGAAAAATCGTTAAAGTTTTTAATCGACCTATTCACCCCCTCTAAGTTGTATTGCTAGCCTCAACAATTAGTATTGGAGCTTCTTTGCTTGTTATTTGAAGTGATTTACTTATAAGCATACAAATCTTTTCCATGGCTAACATTATTGGTTTTGGTGTTCCTGATGGACAAGCTTCTAAAGAGCCACCACACTTTGATAGTACCAACGACAGCTACCAGAAACAAAGGATGAAAGCGTTTCTTCAAGCTACAGGGTTTCCTCTGTGGGCTGTGGGACTTAATTGAGGATGGATCGATAGTTCCTACACCTGTAAGACCTCCGGTTCCATCAGCTAGAGAAGAACATCCACCAGCTCCATTTGCTCCTAATCGTGATGAAATTGAGATAAGACTTGCACAAAATGCCAAAGCTATTAATCTCTTATATTGTGCATTGTCTCCATCTATATTCAACAAAATTTCTTCTTGCGCTACAACAAAATAAATCCGGGATCGACTTCTAATTACATCTGAAGGAGCCAACAGAGTGAGGGACACAAAGATAAACATTCTTCTCGAAAATTACGAAATTTTCAGGATGAAATCTAATTAGACCATGACTCAAATTCCCAAGATTCATGAAAATCATGAGTGACCTTGCCAATCAAGGGAAGGTAATTCCCAATGCTAAAAAGGTGACCAAGCTATAGGGAGCACTTTTAAAGGAGTGGAATCACATAAAGACCTCTGTTTGTGAAATCATGACTCATGAGGATCCAACCCATATTCATTGACAAGATGATAGGGCAACTGATGTCTTACGAAGCTGAGCATATGAATGAAGACAACAATTTATTTCCTTCAAAGCTTGACTATGATGATACAAGAGATCAGATATCGTCAGAAGGAAATTCAAGAACATCATGAGAAAATGAACGAACTTCAAAGGGAAGAGGCTAATGAGATCCTCTGAAGATAAGTTCTCCAAATAAAAAATGAGAACAAATGTAAGGATGTAGTTTGTTATGAATGCACGAAACGTGATCATGTCAAACTAGAATGTCCCTTGATCAAAAAGAAGAATAGCAAGTTTGAAAAGAAGAAAAGCGGGCCGACGGCAAAAACCTAGAGATAAAGTCGAGAATCATAGTTCGTCCCAAAAGGAAGAAAGAGTTTACTATTTTGCGAAACATCTGGGCCTTGGCATTAAAGAATTTACAGGCCCAAGTAGGCGATGTGTATTACCATGACCCTCCAACAAGATTGCTTCTATTGTAATATTAACGCGAAACCTAACCAAGATCTTGCAATTAAATCAGTGCAAGAGAGCAGGAGAAATAAATGAAGAACAATAAAGGACAGTAAAGATTTACATGATTCGATCCGAATGTCGGTTACTATATCCACGGGAGTATCAAAGTTTACAATCACTCGTACATATGAGTGTTTCCAACACTTTGATTATACCAAAACTCGAAGTGTTTACAAACAAATAACTCATTTTACATGTAAAAAAACTCACAGCAGAAATTCACATGTTCACATCCGTGTCGCTGAAAAACCAAGAATGCCGTGCGTTCTTTCTCTCCGCTTCGAGCGGCTTTTATTCGAAGAAATGCACGTCTGGCTTTTTTCTTCTTGTTCTTTAGTGCAGCTCCATTCAACCACCCACCGATGACCACTCTTCAAGGGAAAAGGACAACCTAAGCTAGAGCAAAACGAAAACCCTATATATTTTACTTTATTTCCTTCTTTTCTTCTAAAATCCTAATTGATCCCACACATAAAATATTGATTACGTGGGCCCCCTTCCTTGTCTTGTAGTGGCAGATGACTTCTCTCTCTTTTTTTCTTTTTGTGTGGTTAAATAAATAGGCAAATAGAGTCCAACTTAATAAAAGAAACTTTCCACATATAGATCCATATGCCATTAAAGAGAGATTCTTTGCATTTCTTTCTTATCTAATCGGGTTGAGTTTCGTAACGGATCAAGCTCGAGACATATGTTAACAATTCTCTATCTTAACTCGATATTTGAAGCCAAGTCATTGTACTCATCATCCATACTGCTCTCCCGATGCTCCGACGGGCGCTTACTCTGCACACACGCCAATTGCTTGAGCTACGCCAAAGGAAAATGCTTAGTCATAATGTCTGTTGGGTCTCCACTATCGCTATCTTCTTTATAACAACCTTACCTTTCACTTTGACATCTTGGATGAAATGGTTCTTGATGTCGATATGTTTTATTCGCTTGTGATAAACTGGATTATATGCCAGATATATCGCACATTGCTTATTACAGTGTATATCAACACTTTTCTGCTCTAACACAAAGTCTAAGAGCACTCTTTCGCTATAAAGATTAGTGTCATGTACTCTGCCTCAGTCGAAGGCAAGGCAACATGATCCTGTAAAGACGCCTCCCAATTCACTGCACCTCCTGCTAGCTTAAACACATACCCTGCTAAAGACATGTACTCATTCAAGTCACCGACATGATCTGAATCCACATAACCTATGGTCTTATTGCCATTATCATCCTTTCGTTACATCATACCAACGTCTGTTATCCCCTTCAAATATCTAAGGATCCTTTTCATAGCTTCCTGATGAGCCTTTCCAATGACGCTTCATATAATGGCTAACTACGCTAACGACTTGTGAAGTATCAGATTTAGTGCATACCATAGCATGCATAATACTATCAACTGCTAGAGTGGTGAACACAAGACATATGCTCCTCTTCCTCCTCAATCTACGTTGATAACTTATCAGAAAATTTAAATTGCTTCGCTAAAGATCTACTCACAAATTTCTCTGACTATATGTTAAGACGTGCAATAATTTCTTGATATATTTCTTTTGAGACAAACGTAAAACTCCTACAATCCTATCATGCAAAATCTCTATACCCAATATTTTCTTTGCAGCACCTAAATCTTTCGTCTCAAATTCAGTACTCAACTATCTCTTTAGTACATCAATATCATATATATTTTTAGCTACTATCAACATATAATAACAAATAACTTAAAGACCCATCCTCCAATCTCTTAGAATAAACACAACTATCAATTTTGATTTTTTGAATAGTCTTGACCGGCTATGAAAGCATTAAAACATTTATACCACTGCCTAGAAGACTATT